TCGTAGAGTGCTTTGACCGCGGTGTTGAGGAATTCATTGTGAATAGATGACGAGGAACGGGCCAGGTGAGCGCAAGCAATTACCGTCTCCACACAAAGGTCAGCGACCATTGCGCAATTCCATGCGGCCATACCCGGCGCAGATGGTGTCCAAAAATCTCACCGGCTTTTGGAATCTCAGCTATGATCGTTCACATGTAAAACCAAGGTCTTCACCGTGAATATTCGAAATCCTATTTTATTAACTCTACGGCTAAACTACTGTAAGAGCAAATTTTCTATCTAACGCCCGAAATAAGATGAAATTCGAGAAGCTTACTTGTTTAGGATCAACACATATGCACGAGGGGAGGGTAAAAAAGAGCCCACGACGGAGATTGTCAAACGTTTCGTCGCACAGGATGCCGTGATGGAGGGTAACGGTAGAATATCCCTCAGATATCCCCTCCTAAGCAGGTCGTAATGGTCTACGATCGTAACTCGATGAGCTTGAATCGTGAACCACCGCACTTCCGAAAGGAAGTCTTCTGATGTCGTCGGGTAAAAGGCATGTATGAAGCTTTTTTGTTGGACTGAAATGAGCTCTTCAATTTCCGGTTGAGATCATTCCATTTCAACCGCAAAGGTTGTAACCATTCCGAATAGGCTGATAGGCTTTTTTTATGCCTCTCCCCCTTCCTCCTCTCGCCACTCCTTTCCGCATTCCTTGGACACGCGACTGACAGTTCGAGTTCACTCCATAAGATGTTGTTCAAGCGCAGCGCATAAGAAGCAGTTATTTTGTTATCAACTTTATGTATTAGGTGAACTTCTTAGTGTAATGGAGACAATTGTGTATTTTTTACGCCTGTGTTGAGCAGGCTCCGAATAAATAAAGCATAAACTAGAATCCAAATTCTTTGTCTGGTGTGTCATACGTGCATCCCAGGAGAAGCATCAATAGCAGATTACAGTCGCCAAATCTCGGCAGCGGAAGTACCCGACTTACTAGAACTCATCGATTAAGAACATAATCATGACTTTCGAAGTGAGTAAACGAAAAAAGCAGGTAAAGTTAATGGTAAAGACAACATAACAAATTAAGAAATAAGGGCGGTATTGAACCCTACGTGGAAACAGAAACTGAGCTCTTCGGGTAAAACAAAATGCAGTTCTTCTGGAAAAATGTGAGAAAACAGAGAATTAGCTTTCTTCGAGGAAGAGTGAACAGATGGATGGGGCGCTTCCGGAGCGCTGCAAAATTCTCGCCACGGTTTCCATTTCACAATCACGCCAGAAGTTCGTAAGTGGAGGTGGTCGGACGAGACGGCAAATGAGGGTCAAGGCGACGTCACGGCTACGTTGCCTCTTCGTGGACACTTTATGGCCATATATGTATGAGCGTGCGTCGAAATTAGTATGGTGAATAACCTCGAACAACCGTGCCTGGTTCACGAGAATATATCACTGATGTTGGATTACTTTTTACTCTTCACTTCTTCTAAGGCTCCTTTAGCCTAAACCCCCATAGAACAGGTTACCAATAAAATCTATTTTTTTCCGCAAATTTTTGATTGCTACACGACTTCTGGAATTGCTAACGTTTTACATTGAAGTTCTTCCACTTAGACCCTAATTCCATAGATTCAACGCCAAACGAAAAATAAGTAACTTCGAGCAGCCTTAGGATCAATGATCCTAACTGTTATCTCACTTGATCTCAGGGGGATTTTTATCGCATCATTGCTGTTATGATGACGCGACTCTTTCCTGAAAGAAGCCGAAGCTTTGAGCCCTGTTGGCTGACTATGTACACGGTATTTTCTGGAAAATTTATTGAAACCCTCCAGCCCCTCTCAATATTCTTAATATAAACACAGGCTTTTGTGCGAAAACAGGAAAGGATTGTTGACTTGTTTTTGTTTGTTAACTGCTGTTTTTAGCCCCAGTTCGCCTTGCGAATGTTTTTCACAAGAATACTGGGTTGGAACAAAACTTTCGCCCCAGGCGGGACCTAGTGACCTAGTGCGGATTCTAGTCCCGCCTTAGGCGAGCAACCCGGCATTCTTGTGAGAAAAGGATTAGTTCTTAAGTGCTCGTTAGGTCCTCATGGCCATCATCTACACGTTGTTCTTGATGGCCCCACCAGCACATTTTGTGAACGATTTCTTCCATTCTGTGGAATGACCTATAGGAAATCACCGATGGCTACTCCCAACTGATTTCACACCGACAAGCTATGGCTAGGGCCTTGCAAAAGTGAGTTGCTGCAGCCGCGATTTTCTGTTATCATGGCCTATCCCCCCCCCTGCGCCCTCTCATCTGTTGCGCTCTCTGGCTTCATACGCTTCACTTCGCTTCATTCAAGGAATATTTCACGGAAAAGCCATGATTCTATTTCAGCCATAAATCGTTGGCTTGGGACTCACTATCCACCATTAAAATGAAAAGAGCAGAAATATTCCTTTTATTTTGGTACAAAATTCGAAAAATCGAAATGGCTGCTACGCGTTCAATTCGCCCACGGACGTCTTTCACGAATGCTGGCGACGGGGATGCTTCAAACTTGGTTCTTGGAGTGCCTTCACTAGAAGCTCTTTCTGGCCTTCTGCTTTATTGCATTCACATCTTACACTTCTACTCCATCCTATTCTATCGATCGATTTGTCTCTACTCTCCGAAATCGCGCGCTTTAACCCGATTCTTTCATTGCGTCGCCTGATACGTAGCCGGCCAAAAGCCAACTTCTTTCCATGCCTCGCCTTGGCTCCGCCCGAATTACCTTCGATTGTCCATAGAGTGTAGTTTTTGTACGTTTGTTTCTCTTCGGAAACCGAATCTTCATGCGTGAAACTTTGTGTGCTATTTCCAGTGATCACAACTGACACATTCATGTTAAGAAAGAATGCAAGAATTTTCCGCGAAGGATTCCTTTAATTGGTTACTCATTGCACTAGCACAGCCGATTACGAAGGTGAGTGAGCCCTCAACCTAAGCGTTTTCGACGGATTCTTTTCCTTTTTTCTTCACTGCCGGCCCATTTCGCACCAATACATTCGCATTCGTGTGCAAGAGCCACATAAATGGCTAGGCATGCCTTGAAACTCTGGGTTGCTTTCACTTTTCAATCCTTTGTTTAGCAGCAGTACTTGTCCATCGAATACAGTGGCTAAGAAATGTCGCAACACAGTAATACTTCCGCAGATGGGATAGAAACAGCATATAAATGAAATGGCGGAAGAAACTTGGTCTCTTCATTTTTTGTTGAGTTTTTTTTCTTGAAAATAAACAGAGTATTGTACAACTATGGATAATAAAATAGGGTTGCTGAACACTCCAAGCATTTTTGTGATGACCGTTGTACCAGAGCGATTTTCGGGTGGTCTGCTGGAATACTGAACAAACCAGGGCAAAAGCTTTTCAGACTTTTTTGTGAATGCTTCGAACGAAACAATAACTACCGGTCCGTCGCGAAGAAGATCAACTGCAGTACTATGACACATGAGAGGGCCGAATGGTGATGCCGCTGAGACCCGCTTGAGGAATTCGATGATGAACGAGACAACAGGTAGTGCAGGCCATACGGTGTTCTTGTAAATCAGCAAAGGTACATCAAACATCACGTAAAACTTCATAAAGTTGAATCTGAAGCGCTATAATGAGGCTTTTAATGTTAAATATTCTAAACAAGGCAGTTCTCTACCACACTCGAGTACGTACGTGACATCAGTCAAGGACTGTGGGGCGTTGCTGAAACTGCTACGACCGCTTCTATGTTTCCCTATTCGCAGCAGCCAGGTGCCCGCGCCCTCCCGTACGTTGTGCCTCTCGCCTATCCTCTCTTCTACACCAAGTGCCTCACTGCGGTAGCACAGCCGGATCAGAAAAGGGTTAAAATTTGACTTAAAGACACAACTCCAGGCAGAGGTCGTGTGAACGCTTCTCTTCGGTCTGTAGTATAGACAACCACAAATGTGGCGTTCCCGTGCACGGAAAAGAGCGCTTGGGCCTTGCAAAGTAAGCTGCTGAAGCTGCAGATTTTTTTCTCTTATCAGGCTGTTGTCTGGCGCTCTCTCATCTGTAGCGCTCTCTCGCCTCATACTCTCCTCTCCGCGCTTAGTCTCTCATTCCCTTAGCACAGCCGATTAGGAAGGTGAGTGAGCCCTTAACCTAAGCGTTTTCGACGGATTCTTTTCCTTTTTTCTTTACTGCCGGCCCATTTCGCACCAATACATTCGCATTCGTGTGCAAGAGCCACACCAATGTGATCCTGGGGCATGCCTTTAATCCTTCTGACGGACCTGTCATTTCTATCCATTTTTCGTGTGCGCAAACCGTATCGCTTTGATGATGAGGAGTGGGTTTGAAGGAAGCGGTTACGATAAAGTGGGAGCGCATCGGGAAAGCATGTATGCCACACGAAGTTACTTGGCTGCCAGGGAAGCGAGGTGTGGCGCTTTCACGACGAAAGGTGCGCTGGTTGCTGAGCAGGACTTCGAAAGCACTCCGCCCCCAAAAGCGCTCCCAAGTTTAGTTGGTGATTTGGACGAGTTGCGTTGCCAGCAACCACACATTCGACAGAAACGTCAGTTGGCGGGGTGCTAAAAAACGCGTAGCGCCAATTCGCCCGTATTTCCGCCCTCTCTTCAGTTGACCGCCCGTGGGCGATCCAAACACCCAAATAAGGGGTTCCCTTTTTTTGCGTGATGGATTTTTCTGCTTTCTTCACCACAAACATACCATTAAGCATTCCCATATAATCCCCTCTTTCGTAGTCGCCGTTGTATTCAGACAAAAAAAAGCTGTGACCTCTTTTATAAAAGGGAATATAAAAGGAAGTAAACATGTGCTTGCTTCAAATAGCGTGTATAACAAGTAGGTAACTAGGATAGAATTTATTTTATATAACGGTTGATATTCATAAATGCCATCGTCATATTCTTCGGCGATATTTTTATCATTTACAACATTATCATCACTCTTTTTTTTCTATGAGATTACCTTCGGCAATTAGTCTACTACTTATGACATCATCGTCTTCACCGGCTTCTTCTTCAGAGTATCTTCGGAGTTATGTTTGCTATTTATGCTTTCCCATTTTGTTTTACGATCTTCAATTTTCATGTTCAACACACTGTCAATATCAGCTGTATAGAATGAAAGGTCAGTATGTGCCTGAAAGGAAAACTCATCACTTGCATGTCCGCAAAAATCACTCTTGTTTAGGTAAAAATTGTACCTGTGCACCCGGACTGAGACCTTGGAGCAAATCTTCGCAACCTGTTCCACGAGACACAACACCCACCAAATAATGCCTTCCACCAAATGGTACTGTAACTCCACCTCCACTGTCTCCCTTAACATCTAGTTTTTCAGCCATTAATGCGGCTTGCTGAGAGCAAAATGTGAGGTGGAGAAAGATCCCTGCTAATAAGCATTGTGAAGATCCACTTTGAGGACCCTTCTTAGTGTTTTATCTTTAGCCCTAGAGAGCATACTATTACGCTCTTTAGGCCTAAAGAAAAAACACCTAAGATTGAGGATAAAATAATATGGGAACCACTTATTTGAAACGCACACTTGATGGGGACTCACATCCTACCCAAAAGGTTGGTCGACCTGGTGCTGTGCTAGTTAGGCCGAAGCAAAGTTCTCCATTCCCCTGATACTAGGTCGTCCCCTTAGACCGTTGCAGGGTGAATTGTGCAGGCACCTCAGAGCACTTTTACGCTACACCGATACATATCAAAAGTACATTTCAAATGACCGATTACTTGTTACAAGCGCTCTCATTCTTATCTTAATTATTGGAGAACACAGTGGAGTGTCTTCCCCCTCCCAAATGGATTTTCACCTGCAAGCTTTGAGCGCTCTATCGGTATGCATTTGAGTGTGTCACGAAATTCCGTACTACCTAAAAAAACCGAGGACCGGGGTCAGATTTGGAATGGGTAGGGCACGGGACAAGGTGCACGGAGCACACATGGGCGAACTGGAACCGCGGCGCGATGGGTGAAGTGGGCGGTGCCGGCGGTAAAGATTTCGAATTCGATTACAAAACAGGCTGAAGGCAGAAACAACGGGCAAGGAGTGCGCTGTTGCCAGGTTGCATTGTGTAGGTAGGCCCAGGCAGAGTAGGGCTTGGGCAGAGTATTCTTGAGGACACAGCCCCCGCAGAATTTGTGTGGACAATTCCCTCGTGTTTAGGAGAGACCTCTAGAGGACAATAACTGATACGGCAATCCCGTGCCTGGGGTGACTTGACAAAAACGCTAGGGCCTTGCAAAGTAAGCTGCAGCAGCTGCAATGTTTCAAAGCTTTCGCTTGGCCACCTCTCCTCTGTTGCGCTCTCTGGCAACGGCCATACTCTTCGGGTAGGAGGGGGGAGTCACCCTCACTTTTTCGTCACATCATGTTTCCTTTATAACAGACGCCTGATTTTGATCCCAATTTTGAATTTCGGATTTTCCGTATGAAATTAGCCGCTCACCTTACAAACGTTTTTCTCCGATTTCTCAACGGTGCAAAATATAGCTGGTCCCTTAGTGGGTGAATTTTTCTGACATTCTTCGTAAGTCATTTTTGATCCTGAATGTGTTTCGTTACAGTATTTGAACACATCTTCATCCATGCCATTCAATTAAAAAAACATTTTATTATTTGACAAGAGTGCTGGGTTATGAATTACTTGCGCTCCAGGTGAGACTCAAACCCGCACCTCTCGTTTACTGGGCGCTACAACCAGAGTCAACCCTGCGTTGCGCAGTTCTCAACGGCCACGTTGCGCAGTTTCGCCCGATTAGACACGTTCTCTCGCGCGAACATTCACACTCGCATGCTCGAGCCGTCTGCGTCTCCGCCCATACAGCGTGCGTTGAGGATCTCTCAACGTGCCGTTGCGAACTGCGCAACGCAGGGTTGACTCTGCTACACTTGCGCTACCGGGACACCGTTTTGCCCTATCTCAGCTTTTCATGATGTTTTTTTTTGAACTAGCATTTTTGTGAAAGTTTCGCAAGGCGGCTGCGGCGAACAGCAGTTAACAGTCAAAAACAAGACGAAATTCTTTTACTACTGTTTTAACAACAAAAAAGCGCATGACTATAGTTCCCATTTTTTGTATGATTCAGGGGCATTTTTTTGTGAAGTTTAGCGATCTTTTGAGGTTAATAACGATGATGAAGATTGTACAAGCTTTGCTTCTGTGGGTAAATGAAAGGAAACATTCTAGTACATAATTACCACGAAGGCGAAGTTTACGATGAAGCAGCAGCCTATTGGAAATGAAGGCAGAGTTCGCAGTGGCGCAGGGATGAAGACAACACCGTGAGCAACGGCCCCAACCCTGAATGGTACCGCTTTTTTGCCTGCTCAATTCCGCATTGCCCTTTCAACGCTTACGATCTCTCTGCTGAGCGACTAGAGTCGGACGGCAAAAGGATGGGCGGGCAGCGGCGTGAGCGGCGCAGTTACAGCAAACTGCTGCTGCGAAACGTGCATTGTCCTGCATCCTTGGAAGTCTGCCTGTCTTCCAACGAAGTGTATTCCCTTCTTCATAAACCTCCGGCCTTATTGTGGAATTCTCCCTTGAGACTGTGAATCGCTAGGCGATCTCTTTTCAGCCAATTAAAGCGAGGGATTACGATAAGTTTGGACTGGGTTCATAGTGGAAGTGGGGATGCTGAATAATGCCCCAGTGGCGAAAAAAGCAAAGAAATCCGTCAAGAAGGCGCAAAATGGGACCCCTTTCTTTGCCCGTTGACCTCCGATAATGGACGAGCTAGCAACCAATTAGGAGGTCGTTTGCACATGTTATGCTGATAGCCTCTATCATTTCAGCAAGCATCATGCTTTGATTGATCACGCATCCCATGAAAAGTTATAGGATACACTCTGGAAGTGGAATATCTCGTCACATTGGCAATCGAAGGGCGCTGCTGCTGGGGGCGGAGCACAGACCGTGGCGGGGCTCAGAAAGGAATGGCAAGCCTTGTACGCTGCAACTAGCGCACCTTTGACCACAAAAACGCAACATTTCGTTTCCTTGGGCCCCTGACTACTGCTTCCAATGGTGCATGTACTTCCACGCTGCATACGCACTTTATCGTAATCTCTCGCTTTAAAGCAATGGGTCATTTCCAGATAGGGATTAGTGCATACCCAAATCAATCTTCTGCAGGATTGGAGTTGGTTTCTCGAAGTAACCGCGAAGTGCTGAAAGTAATGAGATCATTGACGTGGACATTGAAAAGGAAGTTAAGGAAGTTAAGGAAAAAAAATTATTACGGACGATCGAGGCCCCATCCAGTTGAGAAGAGCTTCATCGAGTCGTCGTCCAGTTCATCTATATGGTGAAGGTGAGGCAAGCAAATGTGATGAATGCCAGCAGGAACATCCCTATCCAATTCCATAATTGCAATATCTCTCGTTCCAGTACATCCTGCCTTGAAAAATCCTTCATAGAATCCGCTGAAAAGCCAGATCTGAGATTCCGCTTGTATTGAACTATCAACTAAATCTGGTTTCAATTTCTAGAACACAAAGCAAATCGCCTAGAGAAATAAGATCTCTCCGGAAGAAGGTGCTGTAATCCGCAAGTAAGTGGGTGATAACGTTCGTGTCAAGAATTTGTGGGGGGAGGCCACCAAGCCGTAAGGCTGCTTCTGTAGCTGCACCCAGGTAGTCAGTAAGTACCAGTACCAACAAAAGGGAGGGGTCTAGTTGCAATTTTGGAAAGGGGGTCGTCGCTCCGTTAGAAATACTTACCCTCCAGGGAAGGAGTTGGAGGGCATCGATCTTCCACCAAAACAAATACACTATACAAACGAAACGACGGTATTGGAGACCCCGCAGGGCTAGTGGTGATGGTGAAATCGTAACGATACTCCTCTGGGGAGAGGAGGGGTCATAAAAATTTACTACCAACGCTAGGGTTGACCCTGGCTGCACTCCTAGCTCGTGACGCGTCACTAACAAGGGGAGGTCTTTCTGGTGTACCCGCGCTTTCTCAAGACGGTTTTTTGCATGATGTAGAGGGATGTGCATGGATTACAGAACTGTAGTCCATTTCCGCTAAATGGCTTTTTGAACGCCAAAAAAGGATGAGCAAATGAGTGAGCAAATGGTCCTTGGTCCGATTCCGCCATTCGACAAATTTTTTGCATTGAGATTTGGCGCAACTAGTGTGGCACCAAATACGTCAACACCAGGAAATGACGTCATATTTGTAATTAGGCTTGCAAAAACCCTTAAAAGTAAGCGAAAATTGGTGGGAGAAAGTTGTAACGCAAGAACGGGGGGCCCCAAAATTATGTCGGAGCTGAAAATGAATGTCATAGTCGTAATCAGGACACCTGATTACCCTTGTGTCCGAAGTTTACAAGAAAATCAATACTTTGACCCAACTTCGGAAAATTGCTCTATGAGTAAGTAAACTCTGTAGCACGTCAGGCTCGACGGCGAACTTCTTGAAAATGACCTCCTGTAGATCCTCATCAAGGAATGAGAAATGTTCCTACCGAACAGAATAGTAGACACCCAAGCTGATGACGGTCGGGGAGAGGGGACATCCGCAATGCAGTAGTTTCTGCTAGTTCTCCACACGGAGCTGCCCCCAAGCGACTACTACTTGAAATACTTGAAGAGTTACTTATGTCTGGTGGAAATTTTCGAAGTTAGGTCAAAGATGCGATTTTCCTCGAAACTTCGGCTATAGAGGTAAATCAGTGCGCTGGTTAAGAATATGGCATTGTTTTTTGGAGCCGCCGCTATCTGGCGCCATTTCGACGTTACAACTTTGTTTGCCTGCTTTCGGTGAAAACTTACCTCATCGGGGTTATTAACGGTTCTGATCATGAATAATACATCTATTATGGCGTTTATGCAACTTGGAGCCTCGAGATCGAGATCTGGAAGTGCCAACAAGAAACGCAAAAATTTGCGCATCTCGAGGATCCGAACCAGCAACCCCGTCCAACCGTGCCAATTGAAGTCCATATCGCTATCCACTACACCACCGACGCTGCCGAATGTGAGTAGCCAAATGCACTCATGAAACTTCCACACGCTCTTCAGTACATAGCATGACATCACTACGACAACTTTCCAATTTTGGCCAAACTTCGCGTTGTTTTCGATACAGAGCTTGCGAGAACCCTTCGTTACAAGCAGTCCACGCCATAAATGAAACAAACCACGGTGAATGCGCAAAAATTGCAGTATCCGACGAAATTATTTTCACTCCTTTTTTGGCATTCAGAGAGCCATTTAGCGGAAATGGACTACAGTTCTGTAATCCACGCACATCCCTCTACATCATGCAAAAAACCGTTTTGAGAAAGCGCGGGTTCACCTGAAAGACCTCCCTCGTAAGTGTCATCATAGAAATTGCCTGCGTTTCGCTTGTTGCCATACTCTTTCTTCACACCAAAGTCGTTGGTCCTTTATTCGTTTAATTGTGTGTTTTTTTACTGCAATTCTAATGGTTTCTTTGATTTTTTGTCCAGCGTTGGCCACCTAGTCCTTCATCTTCAAGTTCTAACTCTTCTACCGACACTACAGACGGCTGTGGGTGTCTTCGAAAGATGTCATAAATACTAATTAATTATTTGATTTTACTTGCACGACAATCTTAGGTCAACTTTATCTGAAAGCGCTCCCCTCCCTCCCGAAGCGCATTTAACAACTGGATCCTCCGTTGATGGTTAAGTTAGAGCTGAATACGATGGTCGTAGAAAAGCCCCTGTCGTGGGTAAAAAGAGTGAAAGTGCAACAAGAGCGTAAGGGTACTGTCATAGCGAATGACAGCGAATTCCCTTGATCACGGTTGTCAACGTCCTCTCGTCCAGGATGCCCACTCGACTGATCTCTCTCCTTGGCGCGCTGTCTCTATCCTTCAGTCCCTTGTAAGGAAACACCGACATTTATTATCAGCGTTTTTGATGGTTTCTTCCCTCTTTTCTCCGCTGCCAGTCCAATTCGCACTTTTGGTTTTATCACTGAGTTGAGTTGAAAAGCGTAGGTTACGATGAAAAGTCACCCCATTCGAAATCAAGCTAAAGATGTAGAGTGAGCATGGGCGAAGATAAAATCAAGCAAAACACCTTGAACCCGATCCTAGTATCCATTGCTGCCCACTGATTTACGCGTTGAGCAATTCTCATCGGTGCTGAGCTCCTTAATACTAACGCTCTCTCTACTAGAGCGGCTAGAGCGGGGCGGCGAGGGGCCAGCCGATCGGACGTAGCGCAGCGGCGCGGGTACGGCCCTAATGGGCAGCTGTGGGCGTGGCCTTGTCTGCGGAACGCGCACCCTTAGGTGCCAGTCTGTCATTTCACTAGTTAAATTACCCCTTCTCAGGCTCCACCCTGATCGTGAGATCCTCCTTCAAGTTCAACCGCTCCCTCATTCAGGCTGAGAACTTAAAGGCAAAGTCTGGGAGCCAGCTGATGTGTTATTGCGCTTGTAAGTGACAGTAGAGATTTGAAGTTCAACGACAATAATGAAAAAACGACAAATACCGGCGATGAGGACTAAAATAAAGCACCCCTCTCCAATGGCGGCGGAAAGAAATAACACTGATTTGTGGGCGGGGTCAGTGACACTGGGCGGAGCAAGCATTAGAGCCTCGGCGTTTCGGCCCTGTCCAGCATGGCGCCATAGGTACATGCTCAGCGGTTACTTTCCATTCCATATTTCTCATGCAAGAACTTCATTTTGTCCAGAATTCCCAAACATTGCCTTAAATGTAAAATCTCCGCTAACAAAACTTTAATCTTACTTTTTGACCCGCATTTTTGTGCCGACTTTCTTACCGCTACATTTCACTTTGGTGTCTTGTTCATAACAAATACCACCAACTTGGACTATGGAATTCTTCCTTACAAAATCAATCGGATACATGTCCTCCATGCTGCAAAACGAAAACAAATAAATGGATACATTTTTCAAATACAAAAAAAACCGTCCAACCTGCATGGTGTAGCACCCACATTTCTCCAGAAACAATGGGCAGCCGTAATGAAGTGGCGTGGTGTGACAAGTGTACCTCCACACACAGCTAAAGGACAATAACGGAGAAAGCTCTAGTCTTATAAATACTTGAAAATGTGTAGTTTTCTTTTCAAGATTTTATTTTTAGTATGTATTTCTACTGTTCCCCTGGAGAATACTTACGGGGGAACTCAATGTCAGAATAATCAGTGCTGTTCGTACCGCCAGTTCCAGTTACTTTCAGTAGAACACTCCATGGCGACTCTCCCATGAGAGCGTCTTTGCCTCCCATTACCTGCAATGACGAGGTGAATTATGGGCGCCATTTTTGGATCACTCGGGTATGAAGCACTTGGTGTTTCGTCTTGCCAGTGTGTAGGTGTGTCTTTTGAGCCATAAAAGTTCTTACGGCTACGAAAAGGAATGTAACAGGGCAAATTGGCCGTTAACAGACTATGGAGGGATTTTTTTCATACTGTATCTATCTGTGAAAATAGAGGTTTGGAGATGGGAGGAACATTCCATTGTACTCTGCTTCTCTTTTGCTTGGGGTGTCATTACGAGCTTGAGTAAGAGCTTTCATAATGAGCAATCAATTTACCTGATGTGACGTTTCGATAAGATTCGGCGTAATATCTCATACTATTACTCATCCAGGTTATAGGCAACTTTGCGCATTTGGTTATTAGTTTATCTACTTTGAAGATCGTCCCGTCTATCCCTCCATTACCCTGGTTAGGCTTGGGCACACATTCTCTACTGAGGATCGCTTCTTAGCACCGCTCAAGGCTGATACAGTTGGTTAGAAAATTTTACGTCAAATAAGTCGATTTCAACGTTACTATCTCATTATCGAGGCTGTTTTCCTCGCCCTCCAAACTGAAGAGACAGGACCCGGTCCGAATTCCACTCCAATTTCAACTCCACAGTCATACACATACCAGTTTAGCTCCGCACGCTACCGCGCACATAAAGCGGTCGGCTTCGTTGAAATGAAACAGCACGTTGTGTCCCACCCCTAAAAAAGCTAACCGCTGTCTTGATGCTGATTCATAATGAAATACCCTAGCCGATCCTTTTCATAGCCTCTCCACTTCTGCTGAAGCTCACCGCTTGATACGCGCGATAGCTTGCAGAAGTGAAGTGGTGTATGTAAACAACCACCATGCCTTGAATGTCAGCGTGATTTAGCGGTCGAATAATATTTGATGCTAATGATGTTGAGACAGAAATGCCCATTGATCATTATCGCATTTCTTCAGACAGCCTCTACACACATTCGCAGGAAATTTAGGCAAAGTAGCGGTCGAAGGGAGTATGGTGCTGACGATGGAACGCAAATGAAATAAAAATGAAATGGGTAGTGATTCTTATCTGCTATTAGGTTTGAAGCGACCTAATGTTCTTACCTACATCGTTATTATGAGCTTTTATCAACTATTATCATTCTCGGTCCACCACCAAATATGTTCCCGTCCCACACTCTACATCACTTGACGAATCCAACGCTTCATTGCTGCTGTGACACGCGATATTCATTTGATGACTCGTGCCTTTCGGCGCCCCTTATCAGCTGTTATCATATTCGGTCCCCACCAAATATGTTCCCGTCCCACCCTCCACATCACTTGTTGGAACCAACGCCTCACTGCTGCTGGGACGCGCGCTATGAATTTCGTGAAATTTGCGTTTCAGCGCCTCTTATCAGCTCTTATCAGTCGTTATCACTTTCTGACCCCCCACCAAATATGTTCCGTCCTGGCCCCTACATAATACTGAAATTACAGCGTTCCATCATTACACACACATACACACACTTAGCGAATTATATATAGTAGGATAGCCATCGGAATTCCGATTCCAGCAGTTCCTCATAGCTGGCACAAGAAGTTTCTCGTCCCCTGCCCAAAGCTTAGCCCCAATTGACGGGGGAGTGATGTTTCACGCGGTTTTAAGTTTACTGCCACCATAATGCTCCCGTATCTTGCGATAGTGCCCTTAACCATTCACAAAGTCGACCCAAGCAAATTCGTACGAAACTGAGCAATTCGATTTCGTTAGGTAAGGTAAGGGCCTGACACCTGCGTAGTATGGACAATGCCATTGCCATTGGTTGTAGGAAGGGATGGCGATCACGCTGAAAACTATAGATATGAACTGTAACAACAGTACACGCTTTATATGCAGCGCACGACCGGTTGTCTACTGATTTTTCGAGTCACTAATGGAGGCTGAGCGGTCACCGGCACTGGTGGAGTTTTGGTGGGTAACCCACAGTTATGGTTTCCAATCTCTGGGTAATCAGCATGGTTAACTGGGCCGAATGCGTAATTATGTTGTGCGGATGGCAGCACTTGAAGTTTCAAAACGCTTTCAGGCCTTTGATAACGACGAATTTGTCGAAACGTTAGGCTCAATAAAGATTCCACCATCCTAAACCTGTTTGGCACATAAGCAACAATAAAGTTCATAAACAATGCCCCGGTTCCAAGAAAGGTGGACCTGGAGACTACAAAAATAATTTTCACTGTGTGAACGTATTGATAGTATGAAGTGGAGGTTGAATACACATGCAGCTGCCCTTCGGTATTATTGATGTTGCGCGGCTGGACGAAGGAATGGCGATGGCGCACATTTTTTACTTGTTCTGTGCCATCTCAGTGATGTACTCTAATCGCGCGTTTCTGCCTTCACACAATCAAATGACTGGCCCTGCTATCACGCTCGCTATCTCGGTGACGTGAGAGGGCTGTGGACGATGGAGGCCGCCGCCGCTACCTTCCTCAGCTACAGAAGAATCTGCCAAAATTCCGTCTACGTTGCTGAATCAAGGAGGAGCTGTTTCTCGGAAAGCTGTCGGTCAGGGAAAATGTGGTGGCACTAACTATGTAATAGTTGCCTCGGCTTGCTGTCAATCCCGGTACAGTAAGCGGTGGTCTCACTCTGATTTGATTTGGTACTTCTTACACCAATACACTTCCAATTTAGTGAGCAATGCTACAACACGGAGCTCATATGCTATCGCTTCTTTACAAATCTTTCTCAATACAGCATTTCTGTCACTTGTTGATAGAATTAGATCATCAAATAATGACTTGTTTGTACAACCACCTTTCGCCTCATAGGGTCGTTAGCGTCCTGTTCTGCAATGTGATCGTCAAGGATGTAATCTTCCATATAGTCTGAGTAGGATTTGAGATCTGTCGATGTCCTGAACGAATAAGTAAATATAAAAAACATACATACCGCTCGTCAATTTTATATATGCGCTGCGCATTTTTTTTATGCGCTAATGAAATGAGAAGAAGTTGCAGTGACGTCATTTGCTACGGCGATGTAGTAGCGCTGTCAGATCATTACAGTACAGCACCAGAGCGGTTGTGACAACAGTAAGTAGTAAGTATTATTCCCATCAGATTTCTTGGGATATTAGCGGCTCGTATTGAGGCAGCGATCACGAGTGGTGCGGCTTTGAACGTCATTGGTGGACGGTCGTTGATAGGCGGTCATGAGCACACTCTCCGGAGTACCAGAGAGCCTGCTCCATGTCTGCCCTTGAAGTCACGCTGGTTTTGGCAGTCTAACGATTTGCACAATTACAACTGGGACTTTCTCTCACGTCAATTCACCATATGGCTAGTAATTTCTCACTAATATGCTGTCATTAAAATTGGCCCTTTTATTCAATAACACTGTTTAATTTGAAAAAATCAAAGATGAACATAACGAGGGGTGCACCCAAAGGAAACCATCTCACTCTTCGAATAGAAAAAGCGCTGGAGCTCCGATTACTTCTTGAACTTTTTGCAACGTTAACTGTAGGCAGAATTCAATTTCACTGAAGAGAAAACAAACCCCCAAGTTATAGCAGAAGGAGTTATGATACGGAAGATTCGTTCATTGTTTGCCTATGCAATCGGATGGATAAAATGTCTCTAAAACTAATGCCGAAGGAAGTGAATAAGACAGAAAGGGAGCGCATCGGAGAAGTATATACGCCACACGGAGCAGTAGCTTGGAGCCAAGAAAGCTAGTGTGGCGCTTTCACGTGTGCGCCGGTTGCTGAGTAAGATCCGAAAGCGCTCTGCCCACTAATTAAGTTGATGAGTGGACGAGCTGTGTTGCCAGCAGCGGCACAACTGGAGCAACTCGACTGGAGCATGGATTGGCAGTGCCACCAAAAGCGTCGCGACAAACTCGTCCATACCTCCGTCGTCTTAGCGGCTGCTCGTCCTTTGCGAAATCAACGGCTATGCATGGATGTCCCGACCTGTATTTTCTTGATGAAATTTCATGCTCTTTCGCCATTAGTGTGCCATTGAGCACCCCAAATTCCCTTGTAAGTCCCCCTGGTACGTGTCGCAATCGCTGCATTACGATAGGAATCATCCACGAAAAAAATCATGAAATCATCTCACTCATAAATCACATACTTGAGACCCACCATTCACAATAAAAACGAAAAGAATAAAAAATGTGTTTGTTTCCGTAAATAACACTCGAAAGCCTGCAAGGCGTCCAAATTACCGCCATACACTGTCACAAGTATTGACGACGGTAATTTTCCCGCTTGGTTCTCGGAGTGCCTTCGCTAGGATTTTCCGGCCTTTTCCACCTATGCCAAGATCATTCTCTCTACAACCGCATTCTATTCTACCGCAGGATTTGTCTCCAATCTAGGAATCGACACTTTATCCCGGTTCTTTCAATGCGTCGCTTGATACGTGGTCGCCCTAAGGCGCACTCAGGGTCAAGCGAGGCGTCGAGGAAAATTCGGAAATACGACCCCCCCCCCTGCCGAAGGCCGAAGTCCATGAAACAACCCTCTTCAAAAGCCGAACTATGAAAAAGTTGTTTAATTCTCCACCAAAACTGCTCATAAAAACTGTCGCCTAAACCTACACCCTGAAAAAATGCAGGACGAGTTTTTTGGCAAGCTGCCCACTGTTTGAATTCAGTTCGTTGCGGGACCCACGCCATTTGCCACTACCGTAATTGGTTTTGGCGCATCGTTCCTATTAGGACTGTCCATTTGAATGGTTGACATTGGTTTTTGGAATGAATGCAATGTTGTTGCATTCATTCACGGCCACGATTTTGCCGGACTCCATCAAGCACTACAGATGAGTTGGAGTAACTTCAAAATATTGGGCGGAGAATAGAATTGGATTGCTTTGCGAACCCAACAAGTATAGTGGCCCGCTCGAGATTCAGGGTTTCCAACCTCGGCGAACGTACAGCTTGATAGATCGCATACAAGTGTATGATAGTAAACACCTTAAAGAAACGACA